CTTCGAAATCAACTGGAACTGCTAAGAAATTTCAATTGAGCCCAGATCTGGCTAGCGAGAAACGAAATGAGGTTGAAGTAACAGCAATAACAAATGTCCACTCTGTTGATGAAAAGAAGCCATATGAATCCAATAGAACAGTACTGCAATGCTACAGTACAACAACCAACACAGCAATAGGTGAATTTATTTGCGAAGAACAGAACAATGAAGAATGATATGGCTCTTTCCTATATTGCTCCTCAATTAGTTAATGGCAAAGTAGTGATTCAGCTGGAAAAGGAGGAAGTTGAACGAGAAACTAAAAAATGGAGAGGAGCCCTAATTGCATATGTAATTGGGGAATACCCAGATTATAATGCTATGCGGCGATATATAGATCTAAAATGGAACAAAATTGCAAGTCCAGATCTTTTTATGCATGATGAAGGATACTATATCATCAAATTTCAATCCATATATGATATGCAAGAAATCCTTTATACTGGCCCTTATACTATCAATAATCGACCCCATTATTTTGAAACTTTGGACAATTGATTTCGATTTTGATAGGGAGTTCCCAACTGAAATATCACTGTGGGTAAAATTCCTAAAGTTACCAATGAATTGTTGGGGAAAAAACTCTCTGAGTAGGATTGCAAGTGCTATTGGGATACCTATGTATGCAGATGAATGCACGGCTAAACAGACGTGTGTTTCCTTTGCTCGAATGCTAGTAGAGGTCATTGTGACAAAACTCATGCTAGATGAAATAGAAGTTATGAATCCTAATGGCAGAATTTTTCAACAAGCTGTGACATATGATTAGAAGCCACTCTTCTGCAACAAATGCCAAGTAATTGGCCATGTTTGCCCAAAGGAGCAAAGAAGAAACGAAGAACGGGCAAAAAAGTAAGAAGGACCTAAGAAAGTCATCCAAATATGGGTAACCAAAGAACAAGTAACAGAGCAATAAAAAACAACAATAAAGGGGCAGATCAGATTGTAGAACAAGAGGTGGCCAGAACCAAATAAGCAATTGATAAGAATACAAAAGATGCTGAACAAATACAGAAGAATGTAGTGATGCAGGAGCAACAATCCATCATCATGCTATCACCCAGTGCAGGAAGTGAGAATATTACACCTAACAAAGGGAAAACAATAAGTAATGTACCTGAACTTAACTTGCAGGATTTTCCTATCTTATGTTCTGTATCAACTAAGAATGGCTTCGAAGTGTTAAATAGAGGCTATGGTGGATCACAATTAGCACCTCCTGGCAAAGGAGGTGGGATTAGCTTTAATCAATGAATTGGATGTTCTGGAATGTAAGGGGTGCAAATAAAAGGTATAAGCATAAGGAATTGAGGAAGTACCTAAAGGCCAAACACATTACTTTAGCAGGATTTACTGAAACTAAGGTGAAAGAGCATAAAGATCGTACTGTGGCAAAAGCTATGGCTACAAATTGGGGATTTTAAAATAACTACCTTAGCGCTACTAATGGCAGAATTTGGTTACTGTGAAACAGTAATCTATACACTGTTGATAAACCAAGAGAAGAGGCACAAATATTATATTGTCAAGTTACTATGACAGCAACTAGTATGCCATGTGTAGTAACTGTCATTTATGGGTATAACACATGTGAACAAAGAAAGTATCTGTGGGGAACACTAAAGGAATTGGCTCAAGGAATAAATATGTCATGGCTGATTGTTGGAGATTTTAATGCAGTTCTATACCCACAGGATAAACTCTTTGGAAATCCAGTTCAATATGTAGAGATCAAAGACTTCACTGACTATATACATGACTTGCTACTAAATGAAGTTAAATGGCCAGGTGATTACTACACCTGGACAAACGAGCAACAAAGCAGTGACAGAATATGTAGCAGACTAGATAAGGCTTTTGGCAATCATGAATGGATGATGCAATGGGGTTACATAGTGATGGAGTATGATGTACCTCTAATTTCAGACCATGCCCCAGTGTTTTTTTCTCTAAAAATAAATCAAAGTAATTTCAAAGTCCCTTTTAAAATTTTCAATTCCTGGGCTGAGCATAACAACTTGGTCATAGTTGAAAAAGTTTGGCAGCAGAGATTCACTACCTGGAAGATGAGGAGTATATGGATGAAACTGAAAGCCCTTAAACCATTGCTCAAGCAACTAAATAATAAGGAGTTTAAATCCATCTCATAGAGAGTAGACAAAGCAAGAAGTGACTTAGTGGCAATCCAAAAATAACTGAATTGTCAATGGTATGATAACCTTATGGAGCAGGAAAGAGCTATTTTTCATAATTTGGAGAAATGGTCTTTGATTGAAGCGAGTATCATGAAGTAGAAATCAGGGGTCAAATGGATTCAGCTGGGGGATTCAAACACTAAATATTTTTCTGCTGTGGTCAAGGAAAAAAGCCAGAAAAACACGTCAAGGAGATCACCTCCTTAGATGGAGTGAAATTTACTGAACCAAAAGATATTCAGGAGGAGATTGTGAAGTTCTACAAATCATTGATGGGATCCTCAGCTCAGAACCTACTAGTTATCAATAAACTCAACATGAAGAGAGGACCAACTCTAACTCAACAACAGAAGCTTGAACTAATTACAACAGTCATTGAAGAAAGAGGACTTGATTCCATAGGTGAGGATAAGGCACCAAGAATTGATGGGTATAATGCTACATTTTTCAAAAAATCATGGGCCATCATTAAAGAAGAAGTGATAAGAGTAGTACAGAAATTCTTCAATACTAGGAAGATGTACAGAGCTATCAATTGTACAGCCATAACTCTGCTGCCAAAGAATGATAAGCCAATAAGATGTTAAAGAATACAGATCAATTGCCTGTTGCACAGTCTTGTATAAATTTATCTCTAAGGTCATATCAACAAGAATACAGAAGGTCATTGAATCCATTATTAGTGAATCACAAGCAGACTTTATATCTAGAAGAAAGATTGGAGATAATATCATCTTATCACATGAACTGGTGAAAGCTTACACAAGAAAACATGTGTCTCCAAGATGCATGATAAAGATAGATTTGCAAAAAGCCTATGATTTAGTGGAGTGGATATATTTGGAGCAGATCATGGTGGAACTAGGATTTCCTATACAATTCATCACATGGATCCTAGTGTGTATGCAAACAGTCAATTATACTACATAGATTAATGGTGAGCCATCAGAACCTTTCAATGCAGCTAAAGGACTCATACAAGGAGATCTCATGTCTCCTTTCCTCTTTGCCACTGCAATGAAGTGCTTGAGTAAGAGCCTAAAAGGAATGACAAATGTGGAAGGCTTTCATTATCATCCAAGATGTTCAAAACTAGTAATCACACACTTCTGTTTTGATGATGATATGTTGCTCTTTGGCAGAGGTGACATCTCATCAGCGGCTGCTCTTCATCAGTGCTGTAATGAATTTTCAGAAGCCTCAGGTCTAAAAGAAAACTTAGGGAAAAGCTCAATATATTTGGTGGAGTGAGTAGAGAAGAAAGAGAAAGAATTCAGCATGAACTGGGCTTTTCTAAAAGTGATCTACCTTTTAATTACCTTGGGGTTCTTCTGTCGACCAAGAAACTTTCCCTAATCCAATGGCAACAACTTATAGAGAAGATAGTAGCAAGGATATCGTCATGGACTTCAAAGAAATTATCCTATGCAGGAAGAATTCAATTTGTACAAACTGTTCTATTTGGGATACAAGCTTATTGGGCTCAACTTTTTGTACTGCCTGCTAAATTCTTAAAAACTATTAATGCCTACTATAGAAGGTACATTTGGTCAGGCTACAATACCATTACCAAGAAAGCCCTGGTTTCCTGGGATAAAGTCTGTTCTCCAAAAAGTATCGGTGGACTTAGCTTGACAAACTTACATATGTGGAATAAAGCGGCTATAACAAAAAAATATTGGGATCTAGCACACAAGCAGGATAAGTTGTGGATCAAATGGATACATGCATATTATATTAAAGGCCAAGCAATAAACTCTATGACTATACCTCAACAGGCATGCTGGATGGTTTGGAAGATTATGGAAGCTAGATCAATATTGGAAGATATACAATGCAATTTCAGGAATGGAAAGAGTAGCACAAGGCAGATATACATACAACTGATTAGTGAGGAAACTAGAGTGCCATGGAAATGCATGATGTTTGGGAATACTGCTCGACCAAAAGCAAGATTTACACTATGGTTGCAGCTACATGGCAAGCTTCTTACTGCTGATAGGCTAACCAAATGTGGAATTGAGATAAATACCCAAAATGTGACGTGTTAAAGCTCAGAGGAAACAAATGAGCACCTCTTTATGGAATGTGAATTTGCTAAAGAAGTATGACACATAGTGAATCAATGGGCATAAGGAAGACCAATGAATGCAAGGGGGTGGCAACAACATCAACATGAGATTATTAGTAGATCAAAGGGGAGAACTCAAGCTGCACAGATTTTCAAGATGATATACACAGAATATGTTCATAGCATTTGGATAGAAAGAAACATGAGAATTTTTGAAAAAATGTACAGAAATAGCGAGTCATTAGCAAGAGATATTGCATGTGTTTTTAGTGTGAGGGCTCCAACAAAAAATTAGGAAAATAGTTCATACATTTAGATTCTAGAAAAGTTGTAGTAGTGGAACAATTACTCGGTTACTACAGTTTTGTAAAGTTTGTTGGTGATGAATAAAATATTTAGTTACAAAAAAAATATACTTTTTTATATGAAAAACTATAATAGTATTGAACTCAAACTCATTTTAATTGTCTTTTACATTAAATTTAATGTTATGGATGCATCATTTTTTCTTTAGACAAACTCATCTTTATTTTTGTTAGGATTTGAATCACCAAATAAAAGGAAAAACCGAAACTTGAAATTACAAATTGGTCTCTCATGTGCTATTTACAACTTTTAGAGGTGTTATCAAGTCATTCCAAAAAGTTGAAGGGGTCAAACTATAATTAAGGGTCAAACTTATAATGAAGGGTACTCTCTCCGTTTCAGAGAGTTGAGAAGTCCGAAAGCCGATTATCGGGCGGAGCCGCAGGCAAGAATTGCTTTGGGTTAATCCTCTACAGGAATATCGCAATGGGATACGTGCAGGAAGCCCGAGAAAATCACGTCAAGAAGAAGGTTGAAGAAGGTAAATTTGATCTTAAACCCCTAACCAGTCATGTACATTAATCATATATATTGTCATTTGTGAAACATCAAGTAGGCGTAGAATACAACCGCACCCATTACTACTTTGTGGAAATGAATGCCAATTTTGTACAAATGTATATATTGTAAAAATTGCTCATATTTTATGCAGTTCAAGCCGAGTCTCAAATGTGAGCTTCAAATGGCAAAAAAACATTGTTTAATCACCTCCATATTCCACAATTCATTTTCCACATCAGTTTAATTTTCTAACAAACCATTTGGAAAGCTGGAGTTGTAGACCTAAGTTCTGTTAGAATAATTTTTTTGGCATCTCAATGGTATGAGGCAGAAGGACTACTTGCTGATATATGGCACTATATGTCCGCAGTTCTTCTTAGAGTTTTATTTGTTTCAGTATGTTTTATATTGCTTATCAAGGACATAAATCTCCTCCTCCATTGTAGTTTTTCCAGTTAAAGAATTTATAAGAGGTTGTAAGGTTGTGTGGAATTAGGGTAAAATCACCTCTAGAGATTCAATAAGGAGGTGGTGGGTGAGAATCAGGAAGAGAGAGAGAGGCGACGGAGGAAAAAATGGATTCTGCTTCGACACCTCGTCTGCCACAGCCGTACACCTTGTCTACAATTGCTTCACTCTTTTTTTTCTTCTTACCTGACTAGGTACATTTCTTCAGTTTAGATATAGATTCTCGCGTGCTTTTGTAAGGGAATGTGAGTGGCTGGCTATGACGTCAGGATTAAGGCATCATAGTATAATACATAAACTTTACGTTGTGACTGCAAGGAGGAGGTGAAGGAAAGACCATAACCAGAATATTGTAAAGATTACAAAAATTGCAGGGAGAGTGCAGGGTTACTACTGCGCAGGACAGAGTGTTTGCCAGGGATGCAAGGTAGTGCTGGAAAAGGATTATTGCAGGGCAAGCCAGACCTGCTAAGCAGTCAGCATGCTGCTTGTCCATTGCCATTATTAATATAACGTGATTAGGGTAGTTTGAGGGGTCTTAGGACGACATATTATAGAAATAGAGTGTCGGTAAGAAATGCAGCGGGCTTACACAAAAATATGTTTGATTTGGTAATTTGTTTAGTATAAGGTGCAAACTGGCTCGTTCTGACAAATTGAAGGCAGATTTGTTAAGCAAGACTCCACGTAACTAAACCTCATTAGCTTAAAATCCATGGGAGCAAAGTTCAAGAAATTTGCTTAGATAATAGAGACAGTCTTGTTATTGGATAGGGACATTATCAAATTTGTATGCGCCATTTACTGAATGAAGAAGAAAGATGATTTTCCACTTTCAAGCCTTTAAAATTTAATTTGTTGGTTGTGAAACTATTTTAGGTATTCTTGTGTTGTCCCTTATTGATGTTCATCAAGAACACTCTATATCATCTTCAACCCTCCACATTAAGTGCTTATTTTGTTTCTCTCTGTAATTGTTTCCTCTAAACGTTGAGGAAGTTTTCGTTTTGATAGGGTTGTTATTGGTTTAGAGTCCAATTCATTCTTTCTGGTCATCCAAAAGCAGAGAAATAAAACAACAACTACTAGCAAGCCGGGTTAGCTATTTGAATCATCACTGTCCATGTTAGCGCCCAATTTTGTTTTAGATTGAGATGTGCCAAGAATATCTGGTTGCTTTTGGTTTTTGGTGTCTTGACATGTGATGCAAGCAGTTGTCCTTGCTTGGATCTGGACGCTCAAAAGAACAAAGCTTTTAGTTCACTTTTCCAACTTATGTCTTGCCACATTATTTGGTCCCACAGAGTTGGATAAAAGTATGCCATTCATGCTTTCACGAAAGCTCCCTGTTACATAGTCAGGACCATGTTTGTTTGACATTTGTGTGCCTGTTTTTATCCGACAAATATGACTTATATTTATGCCTTAAATGACAGTTCCCTTATGTATTGCGGTCCGCTGTTTTTCAGCTACTGTCATGAAAAAATAAATTTATCTTTCAGTCATATTCCTTAACTTGAATGTTTTATGCATCAATAATTCAGCTTTGCGCAGTAAAATGAAGCAGAAAGCACTTCAACAATGCAATCACTACACTGCAAAGTATGCTGAATGTGCCTCAGGAAGAACATTATCTGTTGTTTGGCAGTGCCGCAAACAAGCTAAAGAATTAAATGGGTGCCTCCATCAGTAGTATGTTCCTCATCTTTGATTCAACTTGTTCTTTCATCTTTAGTTACATCTAAATATGTTCAGCAACTATTTGCTCTCATTTTGGTAATCATGACATCTCTTTCTTCCATTAGCTTGCCTGCAATTTTCCCACGATCTGATGAGAGATTTTCTTTGAATAAGTCCTCTAGAGAAACTGAGCTTAACTGCAAGGTTCAAATAGTTATGTATCCAAATATGAATACTGCAAGTTCGAGCTAACAAATCTTCAAACAATCAACTTTGCTCATTATGGATGTGATCTTCTGAAAACTTAGAATGCTTATTTTAGAAGCATTGTTCATGACAGGTGTGTTAAAACTTAAGATAAACCATAAGAGGCTTATTACTTAATAAAAAATAAAAATAAAAACTTAAGATGCACTCAAGCTTAGTCCATGGCATCCCTTTGAGATAAGCTGTGACTAAGCAAGTAAATTGATATTTTGAATATGTTTGACATTTTGAAAGTACGGAGTGGGTAGAATTAAGTTATATTTGACACTTATGTCCTCAGGTTTGAACTAGACTTGCAACCCAAAGCAGAAAAAACCCGAAAGGAAAAAGAAGTTAACCATGGGTATTGGGTGGGTTGTGGGGGGGGGAGCAGAACATGTAATAGGGGTAAAATTATTTCTTTTACCCGTAATTCAAAGGGGAATTTCAAGTTTATAGGCAATTTCGAACCAAATGTAGGTGCATTAGAGACCATCATCTAATCCTCAGCAACTCAATGAACAAACCAGAGGCAGGATAAATGATTTCCGAGGACTGTACCCCTTTCTATCCTCACAAGGTAGGGTACACACTATCCTCCTCAGATCCCACGGTGTGGGATAATACGGAGTATGTTGTTGAGAACTGTACCCCTTTATCTCTGCGACTAAACTAAATCCTCTGGGCGGTCAACATGTTATTGTAATATTTCAGCGCTTAAATTTCGCGATGCACTCTGATGTTCTATTTCTTTTTCCTTGTTTCTTGTTCATGCAGTACAAATGACTCTGTTTTGGAAGAAATGAAGAAAGAATACATGCTTCAACAAGACCGGAAAGGAACCACCTAGAGCTTGAGTTTCACTTTCTTGGTACTTACAGTTTGTAGCTCAAAACATTGTCATTGTACTTTCTGCTTGGTCGTGTTATACTGGAATTGGGCCTCATTTGTTTTTTTAAGATTAAGACGTCTGAATCTGAATACACATCTGAATATCAAGATGTGTATTAAGATTAACGTATTTGAATCTGAATACACATCTGCATATATTAAGATGTGTATTAAGATCTGAATAGAAATAATTAAGACGGTTTGATTTTTAACATCTGAATGTATAACATTTATTTTTACTTGAAAATTAATAAACATAAAATTCAAATGAAATAGTAACTAATCTAATATTCTATCAATAAAGTATGTAGTTTTTAAAGATATGATAGTTGTTGGTGGTGATGACTAACGGGTGAATGCTGACTAGAGGCGGTTGTTGGTGGTAGTTTTGATTGATGATGGTGGTTCATGCTAGTAGCTAGTAGTGATTGGTAGTGGTGGCGATTATGATTGAGGATGGTGGTGGTGGGTGGTGATAGTTAATAATGTCGGTTGTGGAAGGTTAAAATGATGGGCAGTGCGGGCTGTGATTGTTGATGGTGATGGGGTGATCAGTTGTGGTAGTTGATGCGGATGAGTGTTGATTGTGGGTGAGAATGATGGTGGTCGGAGTGGTGGGGATAGTAGGTGGTGATGGTCGATCATGGAGGCTATGATTGAGGATGATGGTGGCATGGTGGTGGTGGTGGCGGCGGCGGCGGCGGTTGGGTATGGTGGTGGTGGTGGCGGCAGCATGGTGGTAGTTGATAATGGTAGGCGGCAGTTAATAATGAATACGTGATAGCATCTTAATGAAATCAAGTCTCTGTTATAGATCTTAATCATACAGACCTATTTAGACCCATTAAGTGGTTGTGAAGTAAAAAAAACAGACACACTTAATGATTAAGATCTGAATAATTAAAATTCAGACTTTAAAAACAAACGTACTTAATGTCTGGGATCTTAATAATTAAGATTCAGACCTACATTAAGTGCAAACAAATGATGCCTTAGAGTGGTTTCTGCTCAGTCATGTTGTACTGGAATTAGAATGGTAGTGAGTACCAGCATAGGTTGTTCTGGTGTTTATGAATAAGAAGAATCTTTGATTTTTTTTTTCTTTGCTTGAAAAGGAATAAGTGGGCTTCGTATTACGCTAAGTCATTTCTGGGATGAGATTATTATATGTTGCTCCAGAGTTGGGATTTCGTTAAATACTTTACTTCCAGGTCACTTTGCTATGATCAAAGTTTTGAGCAGTGGATTTCCATAGAGGGTCTCCAACATAGCATGTGGATTGGCCTTAAACGTAAATACAAGAAGAAGATAGCTAGTTTGACAGAATTGTTATAAATATAGTATATTATGGATGTTCATTTAGTACCTCGTTGTCCATATGGGACTCCGCCGTAATTATGTTTATCTATTTAGTACTCTATTGGAAATAAGCCTCCTGAAGAAGCTTATCACTTTGGTACCCGGTTATGGATAAACATTATCCCCGGTAGAAGATTATCCATATCAGGTATAATAAGCTTATCCTTTCGATACTCCGTTATGAATAAACATTATTTTCGGTAGAAGATTATCCATACCGGGTATAATAAGCTTATCCTTTCGATACTCCATTATGGATAAACATTATCCCCGGTAGAAGATTATCCATATCAGGTATAATAAGCTTATCCTTTCGATACTCCATTATGGATAAACATTATCCCCGGTAGAATATTATCCATACCGGGTACAATAAGCTTATTCTTTCAGTACTCTGTTATGGATAAACATTACCCCAAGTAGAAGATTATTTATACCTGGTATAATGAGCTTATCCTTTTAGTACTCCGTTATGGATAAACATTACTCTCAGTAGAAGGTTATCCATATCTGGTACAGTAACAGCTTACACAGCAGCTTGCAGTAACAGCTTACACAGCAACTTCCTTTCGTCTATAAATAGAAGAGATTTCAGTTCATTATGTACATCAGTTTGGATTCGAATAATATATCAATTTCTCTCTATACTTGTCTTTATTTTACAGTCTTTATTTTATAACACATTATCAGCACGAGATTCTGCCATCTCCAGCAAATACTTTGAAAGTATCTGAGGTACGAACTTTCTTTTTCTATATAATGTCAAATCTTTCTAAACTTGAATTTGTAGCCCTGGATATATCAGACAAAAGTTACATGTCTTGGGTGCTTGATGCTGAAATTCATCTTGATGCGATGGGTCTGGCAGACACCATCAAGAATAAAAATCAGGCATCAAACCAAGACCGTGCCAAAGCAATGATATTCCTACGCTATCACCTTGATGAGGGCCTGAAAATGGAATATCTCACTATTAAAGATCCAGTCATAATATGGAATAATTTGAAAGATAAATATGACCACCTGAAGATGGTCGTTCTTCCATAGACACGTTATGATTGGACTCATCTAAGGCTACAAGATTTTAAATCTATAAGTGAATATAAATTATGTGGTGATAATATTACTGATCATGATATGTTGGAGAAAACTTTCACCACTTTTCATGCCTCGAATATGCTTCTGCAGCAGCAATATCGAGAGATTGGATTTAAAAGGTATTCTGAACTTATCTCACATCTTCTTATAGCCGAGCAACATAATGAGCTATTAATGAAAACAATGAAAGCTGACCTATTGGTTCTTGTCCATTCCTTGAAGTGAATGAGACGAACTTCCACCAAGCTAGACGTGGAAGAGGTCGTGGCCTCAGTCGTGGTCATGGCCGTGGTCGGGGAAGAAATTTTAATCATGGTAATAATAATGCACCAAAAAACCCTCCTCACCACCAGCAATGGAAAAGGAAGGAACAAAAACATGAAGCGATGCAAACACCAAATGCAAAAAATACATGCTATAGATGTGGAGGAAAAGGGCAATGGTCACGTACCTGTCGTACGCCAAAGCATCTGGTTGAGCTTTATCAAGCCTCCCTGAAGAAGACAAAAAACTGCTGAAGCAAATTTTATTTCTGAAGATAATTTGGACTTCATGCATTTGGATGCAGCTGATTACCTTGCACTCCCAGAAGGAAAAACAAGTCATGTAATCGGTGGTGAATCTGTAGAAATATAAATATTTTAATTTTTGTTGTTTGTAATAGATAGTATGGTTATGTAATTGTTGTACATAAAGAAAAATTATGATTTGATAATAATGTTTACTATAATATATCTTATTTATGTCATTTTGAAGAATATGGATAACATTATTAAATCAACTTAAACTCTAGCAGAGTTTGCAAGAAATATACAACCAACAGAAGTAGTTATATTTCGTACATCTCATTGTAATTATATTTTGTTAACCACCAGAAGTGGTATATGCCTATGATCACCAGAAATGATAATTTAGGCTTTCTATGGTTACAATTGAAGATAAGCTACATAAATATTCTCTATATTAAATGCACGCCTCGATTTGCTCCTGAAGTAGTAAATATTTTAAAAGAGGTTGAGACATCACAATTTGATGTGATTAATGCGCATTCAGATAATTATGTTCGATTTTCTGAAAGATGAGAACTTTTGATAATATTAATCCAACCCCTGAAGTGAATGTGACAATATTAATAAATCTGGTAAATATGAATGCGCTCTTAATGTGAATATATTACAATTCACCTCCAGAAGAGGTAATATAATTGAGAGAATATATACTCAATATTTCGTATTTTAAATTTGCTCCTAAAGAAGTAACACAATTGAAATTGCCTCATGAAGTAGGAAAATATTATGAAGAAGAGTTTTCTAGTGCTTAAACAATTGTTTTACATTGTTTATTTGATTGTGATTTTCTCTCATGATACCAGAAGTGTATGAGCAATATTTGATAGTACAAAATGTATCAACAACTCCTGAAGAGCTAACTGTTTGCCTAGAAGACACATGATACCGGTAGTGTCCGATAAATATTAGATTGTGGATAATAAGTGAAGGTTCTTGAAGAGTTTATATAAAAATATGTCATTCATATTATATGATTATGGTCAAAACATATGTTGTAGTAAACCTGAAGTTTACTAATACAAATGGCTATCATATTGAGACTACAAATGATTGGAAGATTGATAATCTTCATGTTTNTGATTTTCTCTCATGATACCAGAAGTGTATGAGCAATATTTGATAGTACAAAATGTATCAACAACTCCTGAAGAGCTAACTGTTTGCCTAGAAGACACATGATACCGGTAGTGTCCGATAAATATTAGATTGTGGATAATAAGTGAAGGTTCTTGAAGAGTTTATATAAAAATATGTCATTCATATTATATGATTATGGTCAAAACATATGTTGTAGTAAACCTGAAGTTTATTAATACAAGTGCCTATCATATTGATACTACAAATGATTGGAAGATTGAAAATCTTTATGTTTCCACAATCATAGGGGGTAAAATAATATGTATGTGAGAAGTTACCCGCGTTATTCTTCAATTTGTACTACATCATGTATCATAGTAAATCAGAAGTTTACTAATGCAAAAGTTTATGCCATAGTCAACTAGAAGTTTACTAAGATATAGCACATGCCATGATAAACTAGAAATTTTCATTTGCCATTTTTAAATGAGCTATTTGAGAATTCTGATAAGCATATACTGAAGAACCAGAAGATTCTTCAAGAATTCTCTTGTGCTGCTTGTTCTCATAATATTATACCGGCTAAAATTGGGACTAAGACCCCTGAATTCTGGAATATATAAAAGGTGAATATGAGCCCATTCACCTATCATGTGAACCACTTATAGATGCATATATAAGATGGTTACATGTATGTTTATTGTCAACCTGCGACATTTGAGATTGCTTTTCTCAATTAAGAGCATAACTTTCAGATTATGAAATCAAGACAGTTCATCTTGATAACGCTGGTTTATATCCAAGTTGGTTTAGCATTGAATACCTCCTACTAATGGCTAAACTATTGCTTATGAGAACAAAGCTTCATGTGTTGGTCTAAATTGCATACAACAACACTTTTATGCATCAGACCAACAATATATGATAAAGTCCTCCCCTCACAATTGGTTTAGGATCAGAAATCAAA